GCTGTGTTCTACCCGCCCCTAAACGCCTCTGCTCTTGCCTTTACCTTCCTCTCCGGAAGGGGAGAAGGGCCCACCCGTACCAGCAGGAGCCCCCCAGAAACGTCCCACCACACAGCGGGTTTCCAACGGGCGTGCTGCCGGGACTGGGACCGTGCTTCGGGTGCGCACAGCACAGGGCACGGGCACGGACTGCCTTCGCTGAGGACAACCCCCACCTCAGGTGACACCAGGCGCCTGAGACCCGCAATCCCCCCCGTCCTCAGACAATTCCCCAGGTGACACCAGGCGCCTGAGACCCGCAATCCCCCCCGTCCTCAGACAATTAACTGCATTCTACTAATTCCAGCAAACAACTGGGAGGATGTGGATACAGAAAGCGATCGCTGTCAGCATTTCAGCTTGTCCCATTATTACACGGGGATTTGTTTTGCTGTTAGCTGCAGCGATCCCAGCTGCGTGCTCTGCGCTTTAGCCACGGCGTTAATTAGGGGCTGAGGCGGCAAGAAAAGCTCAAGTTCTGTGGAGAATGAGTCACGGAGAGGATCTGGAGATGCGCCTTTAGATGGTGCGGCAAAGCCACGCTTGAAATCGCAGCTCACAGCCGAGTTCTCATTCCTGGTATGTTACAACTGCAATAAAACCACTCCCAAATATTTTGTATATTCACTTTGAGCTGGGGCTGTGTCTGTGGGGAAGATGGGCTCTCTCTGATTGTCATGTCTCACCAAAAACATTGCAATATTAATGCTATGGGAGAGCTCTAACACCAAAGTAAGCAAACTACTCAAGTAACTAGACGTTCAGAAAACGCTGAGGGGCTGGGTAGTGGGGTATCTTCCAGAGAGTACGTCCCAGTGCTCACGCTGCTCCATATTTGATCCCACACTCCATTGTGTGCTCCTTCCAACTACCGTGTTGCCATTATTGTGATTAACCTGTGTTCTGAATTCTTCCTTCTCTCAGATTTTGCACTTCCTCAGCGCATTTGCTGCTTATTCGCGCAAGATTCTTTTGCAACACGCCTGCAGGTTACACATCCTCGCTCAGGCTCCCCCAGGGATTCCTGGTGTTGCAGCTCTGAGCTGCAGAGGGTTGAGACGGTTACACGGTGCTAGAACCAGTTCCTGAAACGATAAATCCTCCCGGTGGAATTCATTGCCTGGCAATGCTGACGGAGCTTCCTTCGCCCAGCGACGCCTTCACTCCAGCCGCGTGCTGATGCCAAATGACGGCAAACCCCGCGCCAAGAGGACAGGGGCACCCGCCGGGAGCAGCTGGCAGCGGGAGCCCGGAGGATCGGACGGAGGAGGAGGGTGCGCAGCGCCCACGGCGTCCCACAAATGCTGCCTCCAAGCGCGGAGCTGCGCTGCGGTGGGAATCAGAGGGAATCTTGAAGCTCGCCTGAGCTTCAAGAATCTTTAATTTCAATTTGTCAATTTAAAATTCCTGAGGTTAATTAAATATATTTTTTAAAAAACTCTTTTTTTTTTTGAGTTTTAGAGGAATTAAAAGGATCAGAGACAAAGCATTAAAACAGGAAAAGGTTTCCTTTGCAAGGAAAGGCCCAAGGCCAGTCAAACCTGTGGACTGTTTAGTACCTTGACCAAGACAGAAAGGTGCTAAAGACGGTTCCCCCCTGCAGCTCAACTTCAGAAGCATTGCTTGTTCAGAGAGAACACTGGAGATACAAGTCAACTTCCAAAATGGCCCAGGCAGATGTTGCAGAGCCATGAAGACCTGCTCCTCCCGAGCTAGGGCAGCTCTGCTCAAATCTCCGTACCACAGTTCACTGAAGATGTGCTGTTTCTCAGGATAACGTTGCAGGGAGCAGGTTCTCTGCAGTTGAAGTAGAACAACCGAGTGATTCAATCTCAGTATTTAGCCTTGCTAACGCATAAGCACAAGGAAAAAAATACTTGAGCAGAAAATTCTAAAACCAGAGCTTTATTTACAACAGTAAAAGCAAACCAGAACCACCACCAATATGAAAACCAGGCTGTTCCAGTGGCGTTTCATCAGAAGTCATCTCCTTCAGAAAATCAAAACAAAGTCCATCAATTCACCCATCATTCCTCCAGCGTCTTACCAGAGAAGCAGGAAGAACCACAGAAAGTCATTGCTGCCTCCTTTCTGCTTGCCTTCCCTGTGCATTTTTTCCCATGTGTGGGGAAAAAAAAGACACCTAATCCAGTTAGGGCAGTACTTCCTTAGCAGTTTGGTACAGCTGGAACAAAGGACAACGCAGTCCGTTTACAGATCTGGACCTGGGATTGTCCAAGGACAAAGGAATTCCTAATGGGTACCAGGGGAAGGCCAAAGGAAACATCCAGCCATTGAGGACTATGGGCTGGCTGGAGAGGAGAAAGACGGTAAAATCAGAGGAGGAATGCTTTAGTCCTGCAAGGGGCTGTTACAGGAAGGTAAGAGAAGCAAGTAAGCGAAGACTTTCAAAAAGAAAAAGCAGAACACATCAGCAGTTGGTACAGAAAATAGACAAGATGAAACACAGCAGCTCTGCTCAGCTGCTTTGGAAAGTGAAAAGTTTAAACAACGGGCAGTGGAGGTTTGTCAGAAGAGAGAAAGAGCATTTTATTTTAAGTTCTTCTTTCTTTCTCCCAACAGGTACCGTATTTTTAAAGTTACAGATCTCTTACTTCAATCATTGGCAGACTTAAATAATTCAGCTGTGGAAGAGTACAGCTGGGGTCATGACGTGAGTGAGCAGCCCAAGGAACGGCAATGGGGGTGAGGGGAAGC